GTGTGTGTGTGTGTGTGTGTGTGTGTGTGTGTGTGTGTGTGTGTGTGCGGGGCTGCGCGCTTGTGTTGGGCATCAGGTTCATTATTTTAAGCAGAGTCATGCTCACATTACTGCACAGAAATAGCAGCAGCTCACTTCTGTGTCCTGGGACATAAAGTGTGTGTGCGCGTGTGTGTGTGTGTGTGTGTGTGTGTGTGTGTGTGAGAGAGATACCTTGTGTATTGAGCCGCGTCGTGGTCATCTGTGTTGATAACAGGGCCTCAGACACGGGGCTGGGCGGGCAGGCAAAGACAGAGGCTATATTTAGCCTCGATGGTGGGACACAGTGATGTCTCTGTTTCATACCAGTCCAGGCCAGCGATCATTGGGGACATTTAGTGTGATTTAACAAATATTATAACATGGATCCAAACCACAGATGAGTTCAGTCACAGATGAAACGGAAGCAAACAAAGCTTCTTTTTTTTTTTTTGACTCAAGTAGCACAAGCTGAGAACCCCCCCACCAGAGACCAGACTAGACCAGAGATCTACACCAGCACCCACATTAGACAACATCACCAGCAGCCCGACACAAACCACCTGTCAGCGACCACCTGTTAAACACACTGCAGGGCCTCCTGCACCTTATTCCCTTTAGGATAACTTCCTAATAGTTTGTTGCTACCTAGAAAGAGAAGTTGCGATGGTTACTTACAGGAAGTAAACAAATGTTTCATAATGTTGCAAATAATGCAAAACTAGCACAGAGCTACTTTTTGGACTAATCTATCAGCTATTCAGATAACAGCATAGCAATGCGTCCTACCAGCTGGAGTCAAGCCAGAGTCTGTACCTACGTTACAAACAGTAGTGATGCAGAGCATCCCTGCATGCAGGTTGAGGGGGAGATCTGTAGTGGCCGCTGTGTGCACACATGAAAGAATGTGTTGTCAGTAACCCCCCCCCACAGGCGGTCTCTGTTCACAAACTGGGGAGTCTCTTTAGTGAGTGGGAGTGTGTTTGTGTGTGTTTTTAAAAGCTGCGTACCGTGTGCACAAACATTTTGTGCACTGCTAATTCCCACAACATTTTCCAGTTGTGATTCTTTCCTGTGGTCAATTTAGATTTGTCACGCCGCTGATAAATGGGCAAGGGGGTGAAATTACACTTAATTGAATCATAACTACATCTGAATTATCACACGCTAGCTTTACAGGCAAGTTTCCCCAGGTCATGTAATTTAGTTTGATAATTGATGTGGTGACATGAGACCGGGCTTGTGTGTGTTTGGAATGTCCTATCGGTGTTTTGTTTGGAAGTGGTTTTCCTCGTCTTCTTCGTTCTACTCTGAGGACTCGCTTGCTCACTTTGTCTTCTCTCCTCTTTTTCTCTCCGTCTTCCTTCAGGGACATTAAGCCCGACAACATTCTGCTGGATATGAACGGCCACATCCGCCTGGCCGACTTCGGCTCCTGCCTCAAGCTCATGGAGGACGGGACGGTACGTGTTTTCTTTTTTTACCACACTGCTGCTGATGCCTCCTCCTCCGGTCCAAAGCAAACAAACCAGAGCTTTACTGACCTCCTCGTCAACCCCCGGGGGTCTCCCAGGAGGAGTGTGTGTGGTTCAGCTGCTTGGCTGTGCCTGCAGTTTATGATTCAGACAGAGAGAAGAAATGTTCCCCTCAGGTGTTGCACAAGAGAAGAACGACAGGATGAAATAGATGAGCAGAGTATGTCCCTCCGATGTTAATATAGTGATGAGGTTATGTGATCATTTGGAAAAATAAATGTAGGGCTTGTTGGACGCTTCGTCTCGGACTAAAACGTCTAGATTGAAGCTTTGAATCATGATAAGAGTGCAGTTCATCTGCAACCTCCTGAATAATATAGAGCCAACATCTGCCTTTTCTCTTCCACTGTGGCACTTTTGTGGGAATTCATTATGATACTGCTTTGATTTTAATTCCAGATTCAGCATCAAATGTGCACTCTAAATATTGCTTTGATAAAATAAAAACAGAGTTCTTAAAACAGTTTGTAGACCAGGGCAATCATCCTGTAGTGGAGGTCTGAGAGCTCAATATGCTCTTTGTTTGGCGGTGGTATTCATCGTGCATGCTTCCTGGACTTCAGCCTGTAACTCATCATCATCATCATCATCATCATCATCATCATTACTTTCAATAGCGTGCTGAACCTGGACATCGAAGTTTATTGCATCTTTGTGTGTAGGATTTTTAGGATCAGGTCTTGACTTTTGCTTTTGTCCACTCTTCCAGGTCCAGTCCTCCGTGGCAGTGGGGACTCCCGACTACATCTCCCCAGAAATCCTCCAGGCCATGGAGGATGGGAAAGGCAAGTATGGACCTGAGTGCGACTGGTGGTCCCTGGGCGTCTGCATGTATGAAATGCTGTACGGGGAGACTCCTTTCTACGCAGAGTCTCTGGTGGAGACCTATGGGAAGATCATGAACCACAAGGTGAGCTCGTACAGTTGATTTTACACTGCCTTTCTGTAGGTGTAAATGACATGCTAATACCATTGCCATGACATATCAATGCTGCAGTAATGGAGTTTCTGAGCATAAAGTAGAAACAAAGTGACCAGTGGGCGTGCATGGATAGAGGCCCCCTGTCTAGAAATGTGAAGGCTAAAAAAACCAAATCAGATCTCTGCTGCCTCTAATGCACACATCCCGTCTGGCACAGGAGCGCTTCCAGTTCCCACAGCAGATGACAGACGTGTCGGAGGACGCCAAGGATCTAATCCGCAGGCTCATTTGCAGTCGAGAGCACCGATTGGGCCAGAACGGCATTGAGGACTTCAAGCACCACCCCTTCTTCATTGGTACAGTCCAACGTCACAAATGTCACCATGTGTACCCTGATTTGAGTGCTGTTTCCTTTTCCATTAACATTTATTAATATGCCCTTTTGGGGTTCTTAAATCCTTAAATCCTCTTTTTGTGCATTGCATTTTTTTGTGTCTTATTTGTGCAAATAAGTGAAACCATAGATGTATACTTAAACTTCATGTGATCTACTGCATGTATTGTAGTATATTGAAGAATGCCTTTTCAACAGAACGTGACAATGGTGATAAAATCAGAAGAAGTTGACTTTTAAAAGGTTTAATACATTTCCAGCATCAATATTTAGCGTTGATAGATTTTTGCCACTATTTTGTGCTTATTAATAAAGGAGTCGTGTATCATCCTGTGTTGTAAGTGTGACCGCTCTTGTGTTCAGGCATTGATTGGGAAAACGTTCTCGCGTGCGAGGCCCCCTACATCCCAGAGGTCAGCAGTCCTACTGATACCTCCAACTTTGATGTGGATGATGACTGCCTGAAGAACTCGGTGAGGGGGTTGTTGTTCATATTGTTCATTATCACGTGTATATATATATATATATATATATTAGAATTAAAAGTCTCACTTCTCTCTCATGTTTCCTAATAATCTTTCAGGAGACCATGCCCCCTCCCTCTCACACTGCCTTCTCTGGCCACCACCTGCCCTTTGTGGGCTTCACCTACACGAGTAAATGGTAAGTGCCAAAATAGATTATATATAGAGGATTATTTTTAACCACTGCCTAAATTTAGACTTGGTGTCTTCTTTTTTGGGAAGTCGTCCTTCACACGTCATGATTATGTTTATGATTAGTGGATATTTAGTGGACAGATGAAATGAAGCAAAGGCACCGTTCTGCTCCAGTATTCTTCAAGTTGTTTTTTTTTTTTTTTTATGTCTGTACAGTATTTTCTGATTTATTTAATGCTACTAAGAAATATCCAAAATTTCCTCTGTAAAAACGTTTGACTCGAACATATCAATGCAATGAAACAATCATTTTGAACCTGGCTTTATCCAATAATCAGATTTCTCTTCTGGAAATGATACAAAAATACAAAAAAATAATTGTCTTCACATAAGAAAGTTTCATGGTAATATCTTTGAGTTAGAAGTTTGACCATATTCACCTGTAGGGTCTCCCCTTTAATAAATAGAGACGTGTGGCACCTTGTCACAGTCTAGCATGAAATGTAATTAGCCATTCTAAATGGTCAGCCTGCTCCTCATCCATCTAAAGAGGTGTAGGAGTGCTAAAGTAGCCTCCCTCCCTAATAAGGTGGTGTTCACACTGAAGGCTACCCGTGAGAAAGTAACAAACCCACCACTTACTTTCTTATCTCTTCAAGGCTCAGTGATAATGGCCTTTTCCACTCTTTCTTTCTCTCCTCTTCCCCCCGCTCTGTCTCTCTCTCACACATCTTCCTTTATGTCGCTGTCATTCCTCCCTCTCCCCCTTCCTCCATGACTCAACATCCTCTCCACGTTCAACTCGTCTCTATCTTTTGTCGTCCACTTCTCTTTCCTGTTTCCCCTCTCCTGCTGTTTCCATCCGGTCTCTTTCCCTCCCTTAACTTTCATATTGAATGTTTGTATACTGTTAAAACCACATTATGCTCATTTATCCCCACTCGTTTCATCACCCATTCCCACCGGTACGGTTCTCATGCCTCCTACACCTTTTCCTCGTCGTCCTCCCCTGTAGTTCCCTATCTGACCGGGCTTGCCTGCGACAGCTGGCGGGGGAGTCGGGTAAGGCGGGCCAGGACCAGTTGGACCTGGATGTCCAGCGCAGCCTGGAGGACAGCCTGGCCACAGAGGCCTATGAGAGGAGGATCCGCCGCCTGGAGCAGGAGAAAGTGGAGCTGAGCCGCAAACTGCAAGGTGAGGCTGACGAAACGGCTCGTCTTTGCAATTTGAGGCGGAGAGAGAGAAGAGACGCATACTGTACTTTCATTGGTCTAACTGGAATGCAGACAAAGTTTAATCGCATATTAGCGCAACTTTTTAAAAAGTATAACAAGGCACGAAACTGATGCCTCCTACCTGACCGGTTGCAGAGGCGACTCAGACGGTGCAGGCCCTGCAGCACCCAACGGGAGAGGGCCCTCCCAGCGCCAACAAGGAGGTGGAGATCAGGAGTCTGAAGAGTGAGATCGACGTCCTCAAGAAGCAGATCGCTGGTCAGGATGTTTCTGTTTTTGTTCATATTTAGTTCAGCTCAGTAGTACAGTAGTTTTCATACCCGCCAACCGAAGGGGACATTCGCTCCGCCAGATTTTGAGATTAATAAAACTGTGGAGTATTTGTAAACCTTGGAAACAAACTAACACAGCCACAGTCAAATTCTGTTACAAGCTAAAGTAACGTTTCATTCCATTTGAAACCTTTGTATGTGTGTCAGACTCTGGCCAGCTTGAGAAGCAGCTGGAGGACGTGTCGCTGGCCCGCAGGGACCTGGAGGACTCATCGAAACACGCCAAGACTCTGGAGAGACGGATGAAGAGCGTTGCACAGGAGAAGGATGACATGCACAAGGTACAACCAGCAGTGTTCTGTCGGTTTTGTATATTTATTTAAATACTGTGCCCTAATTATCTATAGTAACAAAAATGTAGCACTTAGTCTCGAGGGACAACAATGCTTCAAAAAGTACTTCAGTGGTATTTTATTTTTTAAAACTTTTTTGGAGAATTGTACCGGTAACTGAAAGGCATCCGATAAAGCCTAAAATACTGGATCAGGTATCAGCGAGCATGTGAATCTATGCACTGATGCAATTTTGCGTAATATTATCATTTATCAGCTAATTTATGCTACAGAGGAAAAACAACTATAATACTGGCGACCCGATCCGTACATCCTGAGTGATGCCACTGTACATGTGGAACCAGTACTACACACCTGTAGTTAAACCCTCTCATGCACCCTATGTTTCCCTCATAGTAATACATCGTGAACAAGTCTAGCTACTTAACGTTAGCAGCACAGTCCTGCTCAGCTAAATATTGGAACTAACAGCTGGTAACAGAGGTTGCATTCTGTTACACTGTGATGTGTTCAAGCCCTGTTCTATAAAGAATAACGATTGGGCAAAGTTCAATTGTAACCTTATCAAGATGTGTTCAAATGTAATATTTTGAACACATCCAGTTGTTTGAAGGAGATGTTTTCACAGCAATATAAAATAGATATTAGAGGGAATGATGACCTGTGTAACTTATTTGTTTTAACACACTGGTATCAGATTGGTATTGTGTATCAGCCGATTTGCAAGTTCAAGTATCTGCAGTACTTTCTGTAATCAAAAACACTTTTCTTCACATGAGCACTTAAAAAGAGAACCTGAACTAAAGCGGTTCCTACAAACACACCATCAATGTTCATATAAAAACCAGACTGCTCAGCTTTGATTAAAAAAAAAAAAAGGGTCAATTCAACCATTCTTGGATTGAGATTAATTGTCCTAGGAATCACTGTAAGAATCTAAATGTGTGTTGACATCCTCCTTTTTTGTCTGGCCAGGATCTTCTGGAGGCCAATGAGAAGCTGAAGTCTCAGTCCAAAGAGCTGAAGGAAGCTCACAGCCAGAGGAAACTGGCCATGCAGGAGTTTTCTGAGCTTAACGAGAGACTCACAGACCTCAGGTAGGATCACTGCTCCAGACCCTTCCTCAAAACAAACACTAGTTTTTGAATGCCCAATTTGTTAGTCTACTCTAGGTGGTCATATACTTGCTCAGAGTTTCTCCTTATTTCCGTTTTTCCCTCACCTTTGACTGAACATTTCTCCCAGGTCGGTAAAGCAGCGCCTGACTCGCCAGGTGCGCGACAAGGAGGAGGAGATGGAGAGCAATGGTCAGAAGGTCGAGTCTCTCCGCCTTGAGGTGCGAAAGGCCGAGAGGGGCAAGAAGGAGGTAGAGTAGTCTCCCTGTGGTTGCTAGCACACCCTGTTCTGTCTCCATCCACTGGTTGGTGCACAATTCAAGCTTCTACTGCCTTCTGTGTGTTGTAGAAATATTTACAGATCGCCATGAATATTTAGACGGTAGATTAGAAACGATGTCGCGGTGGCTGTAGAATGGGAAATGGTGTATCGTCTATGCTCGCCTCCGAATTAGAATTTTTCTGCTTGAATCAGATGGAGGTGCAGGCGGAGGAGCGGGCGGCGGAGGCTCAGAAAGAGAGGAAGCTGAGGGAGCGTAACGAGCAGTACAGCCGACAGCTGGAGGAGGAGCTGGAAGGGCTGAAGGTAAGTGTGCCAACAAACACAGCTGAACACGAACCTGTCCGTCTACGGAGCCTCTGTGCATCCTTAAAAGATAACACTTTAGACCAGAAGCTTTAGACAGCTGTGTGTTTGGTCTGTGCTAATCTCTATAAAGAGATTCAGTACTCTCATGTAGAGTCTGGAGGTTCTGGTTTCCCCTTGCCCCCTGAAGCTTATCTGTCATCAGACCAATGGTTGATGGCTTCTGATATTGGCTCTGTACTTATTGATCCTTCCACACTCCTTTCTCCATACTTTACTTATCTTCATCTCACCCCGCCCCCTCCAATTTTCTGCATCTCCTCACCACCCAGGTGAAGCAGGCCGGCTCCTCTGCTGGCCCAGCCTCGGCGGACCAGACCCAGGAGGTGGGCCGCCTGCGGGGGGACCTGGAGAAGAAGACGGTCCTGTACGAGGAGGAGTTGGCACGCAGGGAGGCGCAGCACGGCACCGAGCTGAAGGCCCTGCGCAAGGAGCTGCGGGACACCGAGGGCCAACACCTGGCGCTGCAGAAAGAGATCCTGATGCTCAAAGACAAGCTGGACAAGACTCGCCGTGAGAGGTGCTCTTTTCCTTCTGTTTTTTCATCCGATCAAGGCACATGTCTTTTTTGTTTTTTTTACTTCTGTATTTCTGGTTTCATGGAGTCCAATATCTGGGCTGTCATGACGTTATTTTTGTTTCCTTTATTGTCTTTTCCAGTGATGATTGCGTGAGGTAATTACCATCCTATCAACAAGTCCCTGTCTGGTTTTAATGTGTAGTAACTGTGAAGTGCTGTTTCTTTTGAATAGTTATATTTGATTATAATATTAACCCAACCAGAGAATACATCCTGATGCAGGTAACCTCTTTGCAAGGGTTTTCAAATACTTTCAACGCTCCATATTGACCCCTGTTTCTCAGGAGGTGCATTTAGATCAAGAGTGCCATTTCAAAGATGGTTTCTACTGTTTTAGAGAACCCGTCTACTGATGAAATGGTTGCTGATATGATGGATATTTTAACACAGTTCTCTTGTCAAGCCTCTGAATGTGAGCTGCTGATGTTTACCTCAGTGGGTCACATCCTGAGGCAGGAAGCTGAAGTTGAAAGCAAATACCCGAGTGAGGCAGTAACAGTGCTGTCGAGATGATACATCGTCATTTTACATGTTTATGTAAATCTTGGGTTTATTTCTGAATTGAAACACAATGGCAATTTATATATATTATTGTGACTTAAAGTGTAGATTTGAATGGTATAATTAGGATGAAAATGGTTGGATGTGTAGAAAAATCTGTCAAAATGTGCCAACTTGGATATTAAAATACCAAGAAATCAAAATGAGTAACTTATTATTCTGCTGCAGACTCCCTGGTAGGTACTCGGGGCACCTGATCCCATGTTGAAAACCGCTGGATTAATCACATTTAATAAGATGTTGTTATTGAGGAGAAAGCTTTCGAGCTTTGTTTTTGTGCCCTGTAGCATAACTTCCCTGCCTGGTGTTACTGACGCATTATTCTCACTGCTTTCTAATTAGTTTTATAACACACCGCCGTATCAGATTCTAACTGCATTAATGTGTTTGGGCTGAATAACGGTGACCTGGTTTTAGCACCAAGCCGTGGATTTAGGTCTTAGAGGAAATGTGTGGAGTCTGAGGCCCACACACCAACATATGTAGGACAGATGAGGCATTCAGAGGAGGTAGACTAAGAGATTGGTAGTTTTCATTTCATAAGTATGTAAGTTTAATGTAGAGTACCTGCATTTGAATTTAGGAGGATGGAAAGCAGAAAAATCCTCCCACGAAATAAAAGAATCTCAGAATGTCAAATCTTTTCAATAATATTGAGGTAGTATTCATGTTATATTGACTAAATCAAGATGGAATTTACTGTCAGGTAAAAAATGTAAGTGTTCAGTGTGACGAGCTTAACAATCGGCGTGTGTGCTTCCTCCAGCCAAAGCGAGCGGGAGGAGTGTGAGACCGAGTACAAGCAGAAGTACGAGAGGGAGAGAGTCCTGCTCACTGAGGAAAATAAAAAGCTGTCCAGTGAACTGGATAAGGTAAGAGATTTGTTTACATGCACACAAAGTAAAACAAAAATCACTCGGGTTAAAAGCTGTGAAGTGATCTGTTTATCTCTTATCTCTCTACCACACACACACACACATGCACACACATGCACACACAAAAAGAAAATACAATTCCCTAACCCCAAGTAACCCGGCCCAAACCCTTTCATCACATTCCTCTCTCTCAGCTATGCCAAAGAAATCACGGTTCAATATCCCACATGAAAGCACTCTGTAGCTTCCTGCAGATGGAATGGCTCTCTGGATTTCTCTCTATTGACTTTGGAATTAGCTGTTGGAAGTTCAAGAAGGCTCCGAATTTAAACAATGTCTGAGGAGCGGGAGGCATTTTGACATATGGAATAAAATGTCAGTGTTGTTTTTAAAGTCTGCAACTGATAAAATGGAAAGTATCTGGATGAAATGGAGCCAGTATGGATGTGGCTGCCACCAGAGTGAAAGCACGCGTCACGCTACATATTTAATGTATTATTCTGTTATTTCATATTCTGAAAAACGATATTTATAAAAGCTTAAGAACTCAGATTAGCACAGATTAGATGTTTCTGTATGATTTGCTTCTCAGTACAAAACAGTCCTTGAATACGTTTGGAGAGCGTGAAAATATTATTGTTTGACTCGTCTAATCTTTCAAAGGAAGGCGCTGAAGCTCAACTCTGTTTGTTTAGTAGCAAAATCAGGCTTCAATTCAGAATGTCTTTACGTGCATGTTCTCAGAGCGGGGAAACCTCTGCAGTTCAATTTTCACTGTTGACAAGTTCAAATTGTTGATGGGTGTGGAGTAATAACGCAGAAAGTCCAGCTCTGCGAGAATGTTTTTGCATTCTGATTCTAAATCTTTGTTTGCTCGTACGAGTCTTTCAATTCAGATCCACCAAACTCCACAAACCTGCCCGTAAAATATTAGTAGAAAATCTTTAAGGCTCTCATAAAATTGGCAAGCCATGATGTACATCACGCTGCAAAATAATTTCCTGGTGTGTGATGGTCATTTCCAAACCTGTGCAGACATCCGTGTGATACTCCGTCACATCTGTGCACTAGATCCTCATTTTCAAACACGATCCACTGACTAGCGTGACATTTTGATACAAGTCAAACTCCAAAACCAACAGACCAAATAAGTCAAGATGTACTTGATTTACTGTGTGACAGATGTTGATATATTAGCAGATATAAATCAAATCCACCTTCAGTGATTTCATGAAGTACATTGGACCTTATGCAAGAACATTTCTCTAATTCTTTTGTACGTGTGCCACTTCAAGGACTTCTCGTAATGCGAGGAATGACATGGGTTCCCACCTAAGAAAATATGACAAAATACCAAGAAGTTGGTGAAAGTTTTCGTAAATCACTCGTACAAGCTATTTAAGAACGAATCTGTTGGCATGGGGGGTTCCCGCATGAGGCCCATGGTGTTTCTGATGAGGTGTGGCGTCTGTGTTTCTATTGGCATCATTACTGGGAGTCCATTTTGGAATGCAGCATATGTCATTTAGTGGGCTCCAACTCAAAGATTTACAGCACATGCCAAAAAAGCAAATATTTATTTCAGTTCCATGTTTGTGTTCATTACAGCGGCTCGAAGGCTTTTTCCCAAAAACACTGACATTATTTTATGACTGTGACCGACCACATATATTCCAAATGTTAGCGACCAGCTCCAGGATTGGAAAGCCATTGCAAAACAAAAATAACTTACTATTTTAACGTACACATTACATCAGTCTTTAAAGTTGCTTACACTAAAAAAGAAAATGTGCCCACAAAGCAGGTATTCCAGCAAACAATGGGGCAGTTTTACACTTGTAATGACACAACTTCTTTGAGGTTAATGACCTTTTTCATTGTGTAAGTGCGTGTGCGTGTCTGGGAGTCCACACACCTCTTTAGCAGCCTTGTAGTCTAGCGGGGTTGAGCACCTGGGAGTTAATTCCTAACAACTGTCATAACCTTCAACAATACAATGATTCATCCTCCATATTGAACCAGTCATCATGTTCAAGGCTGAGCACCTTCACTTGTAGTCATGCAGCAACGACACCTGTTACACTCATTACACAGTAGTACGGTCCTGTGATGTAATGCCAGTCTATTTCTATATAAATTAATCCATTTAGCACATGTCACAGTTCCTAGAGAGCTTTACAGCTCTACACTTTTTAGTATGATGTTGAATATGATCTGTTTTCATTACTCGTGTGTGTGTGTGTGTGTGTGCGTTTTCCCCTCAGCTGACCAGCATGTTTGAGAAGGTGAGCAGCTCCAACAGGCAGCTGGAGGACGAGATGAGGGAGCTGGCTGACAAAAAGGAGAGTGTAGCTCACTGGGAGGCCCAGATCACGGAAATCATCCAATGGTGAGACGCACACGCACACACACATGCAGGGACTTTCTCCAACGACCACAATACTTGCTGAGGCACATACTTTCCCATTAATGCTTGAGCACAAGCTGAAACACAGCTATGTTCAGTCAGCCACACACACACACACACACACACACACACACACACACACACACACACACACTCCCATGCTGTTTAGTAGGGTATTGGGTACCTCCATTCAATATAACTGCAGCATTTCTCACATGCCTTCAAAGATCTTAGTGCTACTTGACCCTCCCTTCCTCTCAGATCACTTCCCATTGCAACTGACACCTCGCCAGCTGCTCGGCTTCTTTCTGTTGGACAAACCCCGCAGTCCTCACATAGCACACATACCACACAATCCCTCACACAGACACATGATACATCCATTCAGATGCACATGCACCAATGCACACACTCACATTCCAAACATGCACATACAAATGCTGAGCCTGGAATGCATTTTTAGAAGAATTTAGTGATGCATGTTGCCCCCTGGTGGAGTAGCTGTGCTGCTGCAGTGGACAAACTGGATCAGTTAGTGGGTGGTATATTATACGTAGTCCTTATCGTTAAACAGTCTGAACAGTTATGAGGTCCTTTTTTCAGGCCTTCAGTGTTAATGGTTATGGGTGAAAGTATGTCTTTGGAATGTCTTTGCATGTATAGTAATGCAAATAAGTGCATTCGTGCGTGTGTGTGTGTGTGTGTGTGTGTGTGTGTGTGTGTGTGTGTGTGTG